TCCTCATCCCCAGTCCAGAGCCCGCACCCCCCACGCCCCAGCCCAGAACCCCCTCCCTCACCCTGAACTCATTTCTGGCCCCACCCCAGAGCCCACACCCCGAACCAGAGCCCTCACCCCTTCCCACACCCCAACCCCAATTTTGTGAACATTCACAGCCCGCCATACAATTTCTATTCCCAGATGTGGCCCTCAGACCAAAAAGTTTGCTCACCCCTGTTATACACCTTTCTCTTTCTGCAATGCATTGAGACCAACTGAGAAAGCAGACATGGATCCCTCACACTTGTTTCTGCTCTGACCAAAGCTATGGATTCAAGGTAGAAGGGACCATTGTAACACAGGCCACAGCAAAATTGAGGCTCAAAGCAATAAGTTAGACTAGTGGTTCTCAAACTGTGGGTCGAGTCCCTAAAGTGGGTTGTGAACACTTTTTAATGGGGTTGCCAGGGCTGGAATTAGACTTGCTAGGGCCCAGGGTCCAAACCCCACCACCCAAGGCCAAAGCCCAAGCCCAAGCCCCACCACCCAGGGCCAAAGCCCAAGCCTGAGCTCCACCGCCTGGGGCCGAAGCCTAAGGACTTCAGCCCTGCGTGGCGGGGCTAAGGTTACAGGTGTCCTATCTGGGGCTGAAGCCTTTGGCTTCAACTTTGGCATCCCCACCTGGGATGGTGGGGCGCAGGCTTCAGTCCCCCCTTCTGGGGTCATGTAGTAATTTTTGTTGTCAGAAAGGGGTCGCGGTGCAAGGAAGTTTGAGAACTCCTGAGTTAGATCATCCTTCCTCATCACTTTAAAGGCTACAGAAGCCTTCAGGGCTTTGAAATTCAGGTCAGCTTTTGAAGGCAGGTCTCTTGCAGCACACCATACAATTTTTGGCTCATTCTATCCATCATGAGAGTGAACTTCTGAATCCTTCTGGTGCTGTCATACATCACTTAGGCCTGTTTATACATATAAGCAAGAAGATGCTGTGACACCATGCTTCTTATGGACAGGAGAATGATAGACTGTTGAAAAAAATTGCCAAAGATTCTATTCTACAGTTAAATTGGATAATTTCAGTTGATACAATCAACTCTAGTAGTTCAGCTGATTCTTAGATGATTATAGAACCCTCTTTCTGCCAGTCACTTCTCCTAAGTATCTAAAGTTTCTGGGTGTTCCATTATGTCTGCATCCAGACACACTCCTGCAATAATTCCTTTAACAAGCTTCAGTTAACACAAAACATATCTAACTAAACTACAAATCCAACATCAACTAATATAACAAAAACTATATAGACAGACTTAAGCACTGCATCTATACAGTATCCCTAATCATATTTCTTTACACTAAATTAAACTGGAAAGAGGGATTTAGGGAAGCTTTAAAAGTTGAGTCTCTTATCTTTAGTTACCAGTTGTGGCTCGCTGAATGAATTGACCAGATATTATACGGGCATTGTCAACTTGAAATCTGGCCAATTTGAGGGAAATGAGTTCAAAAAGGAGTTTTAAGTCATATCTGCCTCCATATCCACTGCAATCTGTGGTTTTACAGCAAATCACTTTTTTATATACTATCTCTGCCTTTTTTCTGCATGAAAGACCCCTCTTCCCCCAAAAATAGTGACGCTGACTATTTACAAACTGCTATCAATTGCAATGAACTATGTTACAGTAATTTTAAAGTTTACTTGTAACAGTACTAGATAAAAAATTATTTCAGTCTGAAAATATGCTAGGGCCTGGTGGGCCTCCTCACACCAGTTTCACACTGCTGTTACTCCAATGACTTCGGTAATTATTCCTAATTCATACCAGTAAAAGAACAGCTTCAGGTTCAAGGCTTGTCAGTACCATATGTATTTCTAGCATAATATCATTGAAAAATTTCATATATTGGGTTGTTTTGTAGAAAACAGTGAAAACCTGGTTATCAGTAGTAAATACACAGTCCATGTTGTTGCAGTATCACAACACACACACCTAAAATAAGGTGCATATTTGTACATTGCAATTGTTTATATTTTATTGCGATTACCTATATGGGAAAAGACCAGGATTTTTAGATGCCACTATTAGTCCTCACTAGTGCTAACAGATTTTTGGTTTGTGTTTAGTTTCATTAGAAGAATAAGGGTGCACAAAAAAGGCTACTCCTGGAATGCAGCTGCTCCCTGAAATCCTGTAAAGTTAGGAACTGGACAAATCATTCATTCTCATGGCTAACAAACATTTGGCTGTCAGATGAATAACTGAGCTAGAATCAAACAAATGCGTGGGCACTGGCATCCTGACAAATATAATGGAAAACTGATACAAAGAATCAATTGCTGGGGGGGAAATAATCAATTAAAAAAGTTGAACCAGACCTGTAAATTATCACACAACAAGAAAGACTCTCTTAAGAGACTTACTCCATTTAACTGTTTAAAATTATTACAGCAGTATTCTGTAACACCTTGTGCTCGTTACAATTGTTTTGGACTATGACCTTCTTAAAAAAAAAAGTTTCATTAAGTCAAAGAATCCTGAAATTCATCAAAGTACAAAGTATGAAATTTTATATATGTAGATCACTATTGCATTTAGAAATTTTAATATAGTATTTGAGGCAGTTCCCTTCTTCAGTTGCAGTAAACATACAAGTAATTAAAATCTGTTAACATTATCTGTCTCTCCGCACCCTATATCTCCTCCTAAAGTATAATTGACAGTTTCAGTGACTTTTCCATCGTTTAGCAAGAAAACTGAATTGATCATATGCTGCTAATTTTAACTGTAAAATTTTAAAAAAAGACTTACAGACTTAAGTAGACAAATCATTTGAAAAGTAACTGGTCATACACAGCAGGTGCTTTTAATACTTGAATGTAATTTATAATAATGATTAACACAAGAATAGTGCACACATCAGAGCAAAGAGGGTCAAGAAGGAAGCTGAAGAGTAATACAAAAAGACTGAGAAAAAGAAAAGCACTGTGGGAGATGAATGACTCCATGAATAACCTATGGGAATGTAGGACATGATATTTTGTTGTAAAGAGATGGGCCAAAACCTAGAATGTGCTGTAGTATAGCACTAGCATACTATAATATAGTAATATCACCACTTATCTTAGATCGTTAGTCCCTGTCCCATAGTCACTATGTGTTTGTAGAGCACATCACAACTAGGTCCCAATCCTGACTGGATTCTTTGGATGTTACCACAATGCAAATAGCAATCGTGATCTCAATATGTTTGATAACAAGAATAGCTTGCATGTCAGATCTGCAAGAGCACTGAAGTAACAAAGGGGCAAGACACTTATGTGAAAAGAATGAAATTGGAAACAAAAGCCAGAACAACACTTCCCCCAAATATTTGTAATACCGCTTAGAAATCCCAATCAAGGATCAGAACCCCATTGTGCTAGGCACTGTACATCATGTAACAAAGATAGTTCCTGCCACAGAGAATTTACAGTCTAGGTTTGAGGGATGGATGGAAGGCTAAGGAAAACAAAAAACAGTTCAGCTGACCACTTTCCCTACCAATGCCAGACAGAAATGATTTCTAGACATCATGGCAGAGGCAGGTTGTAAATAGATTTAAAAGAAAGAGAGAGAGAATAAGGTGGTGGTTTTATGAATTTTAAATTAGTTTGAAGGATAGACATATAGGAGGACTATTACTAGCACACCAAAACAGATCTTTGAAAAACTCTTCAAGCAATGGGTGTTTTTGGACTTGAGCAAGAGATTTAGCATATAGGACAATTAGAAGGTCATGACATCAGCCAAGGGATGTCTCTCACTTTCATTAACATTCTAATGGTTACCAAGTAGCTGTTACACTGCCACTTAGCTCTCCACTGTTTAACACACTTAAACAAAAGGCTAAAGTCAGCTCTGAGTGTCAGCAGTGCAAAAACAATAAAGGTAATCAGTCAGGTTGCACCTGTCTAACTAGGGAAGAATGTGGCCCAAAATTGCAGAATGTTAATAGTCCGACAAATTTAAAGCAACCAGGACATTCCAAGGTAAACTCCCCAAGTCACACTTTATATAGTAAGATATTATCATGGTGTATTTAAAGATAAAAACTTTAAGAAGTCACTTTTTATGAATAGAGGGCAAAAAGAAAATTATAAGTAGGGCTCTTAGTAGCCAAAGTTACAGGAGTGGAAATCCCCTTCTTCCATCAAAGACTATAAATTGAATCATCTCAATGGAGTCAAACTGCAGGCTTGGGTATGAATGTAAAGTCCCCATCCCACACACTGAGGGAGGTACAGAGAATTTAGTCCTAACCAGGACCATTTTTAATTTGTATTATAATAGTATTTAGAAGTGCCAATCAGGATCGATACATAAATATGGTATTCATCAACCAAAACCAAATCACCTGTTTACTAAAAACCTTATCCAGGAGTAGCAGATTAGCACCAGGAATCCCTGAAAATATGTTCTGGTATATTCATTCCGCCAATATGAAAGCTATTATGACTCAAGCTCCAACCTAGCAGTGCCCTGACAAAAAATTGTGGGGATCAGGCAAAATTCAAGATAGCTACATCACTTTCTCCAGCCTCTTTGCGCTGGTACCCTAACACTGAGCTTACTACCCAGGTTTGCCTGTATATCCTATAGTGGTGAGAGCTCCCTCCGCATAGAAAGAGAAGTGGTTTGGGGGTAAATCAAAGTAATCCAAGCCATGTAAACGTGCACCCAGTGCTGGGTGTTTTACAAATCTTGTAATAAAGCCTCTTTCGCCTGCGCCATTGGCAACTGAAGCAACACACGCTGAACAAACACAGCTATCTCCTGGGCCAGCTGTCGGGGGAAGTCCAGTGAGCCCCAGTTTAGGGCTCGAGGTGCCCCTTTAGCATCAGGCTCTTTCTTTGTGCTACTGCACTGCCTCTTCCCTCCGGCCCAAGGGCAGGCGGTGGCTGGGTGAACAGACACCTCTCCCTGCACCTGCCTGGCTTCCCTGAATGGCAGCGAGGGAGTCAAACCGGTCCGGCCTCATACCTGTCTCTCGGGTCGATCCAGCTGGTGGTTTTGTTGGTGTGGTCGATATAATACACTTTCCCATCGAAGTCCCGGGCTTCTTCCCAGCCCTCTGGCAAAGGTAGCTCCTTCCTTGGCATCTTCTCCAGGCCGGGTTGAACTGCCCCATAAAGAGCTCAGCCCCTGGTCCCCGCAAGAGCAGAAGGGGGCGGGCGAGGATTCCGCTTCCTTGCAAGGCCCAGAGCTCTGGGGGACAGCACCGATCAGCCCAGCCACTGCAAGGAGGAACCGGCGGGAGTCACATCCTCCGCTCGGGGGGCCAACGGGCGATGCAAGGCGGTGCCGGGTGATGCCAGGTGCCCGGCGCTGGGGAGCGGGGCAGGGCGGTGCCAGGTGCCCGGCGCTGGGGCGGGGGGGAGCGGGGCAGGGCGGTGCCAGGCGATCACCAGCACAGGCTCCCCAGCGCTGTCCAGCGCCCCGAGGCGGCGGCTCCCCTCACGCCTCCATTTTCCGCTCGGCTCCTGCCGCCCGGCGAGTGCCCGGGGCCTGGGGGTGGCTCCTCTCCTCCCGCTCCCGGCCCAGCCTGGCACCGACACCTCCGCCGGCGGAGCGGGGGATGCTGCTCCGTGAAGGGGCCCAGCGCCCTGCCGCTGCGGCCCGGCCCCGCCTGCCGGGGAGCGCTGGGCTCGCCTCACGCCTCCAGGTGCTACTGTAATGCAGGTAATAGCGCTGCCCCCGCGGAGCTGCTGCTGCCGCCGCTGCTACTGTAAACACGGGTGCACCGGAGGCAGGCGCCTCCCCCTACCCAGGGCACGGGGGTGGGCACAGCACAGCGCCTCCCTCTGCCCAGGCGGGGAGGCGCTGGGGGCTGGGCACAGAGCAGCACCTGCCCCGGGCACCGGCTGGGGGCTCTCAGCAGCACCCCCCCCCCCGTCAGGAGGATGGTGGGGTGGGCCCCAAGGCATCTACTCCGCCAGGCAGCGATGGGCTGGGGCGTTTCAAGCTACCCTTGCCCCTAGGCAGATTGGGCTAGTGCCTAGAACAGGGAACTGTTGGCAGGATTCCGTCCCTCCCCCTCTGTATCACCTTGGCTCTCTATGCCCTAGCGTTCCCACGTGTAAAATACTGACCTCCCCCCGTGCTCAGGTTAACACGGTTGTGAGCTGGAGGCTGGAGCATGAATGCATGGATTTATTATTTGCCAAGCCCAGCCTGCCTCTGCTCTGTACACAGTGTTAAGTAGCCATAGCCCTTACCCCACTGAGTTTACAATCGAAACCCTACCATTCCAATCCAGAAAGTCACAGCTGATCACAAGAGGAATACATCACCTTGGGGTGGCATACATTGTTAGTAGTGGTTTCCTCCCACCCCCCACACACGCCACTCCTTTTTTCAGAAATAAAGTTTTGGGTGGTAGATTAAAGCTGGTAAGATTTAGTCAGTGTGTTCAGAGGAGAACTTAAAGAAGAAACTAGGGCCCAGATCCATAAAAGCATTGTCACGGAAGTCCCAGTTTTGGCTCCACTGTATCCCCAAAACCTGCACTGAACCCTTAGGTACCAAAACTCACTTGGCACCTACATTTTTAAAGTAAAAGTTCCCTAGGCACCTGGGTTGCAGACTCTGGGCATGAAACACTGCTTCCACTCTCTAGGCCAGGGGTAGGCAACCTATGGCACACGTGCCGAAGATGGCACGCAAGCTGATTTTCGGTGGCACTCAAACAGCCTGGGTTCTGGCCACTGGTCCGGGGGGCTCTGCATTTTAATTTAATTTTAAATGAAGCATCTTAAACATTTTAAAAACCTTAATTACTTTACATACAACAATAGTTTAGTTATATATTATAGACTTACAAAAAGAGACCTTCTAAAAACGTTAAAATGTATTACCGGCACACGAAACCTTAAATTAGAGTGAATAAATGAAGACTCGGCACACCACTTCTGAAAGGTTGCTGACCCTTGCTCTAGGCATCCACATGCCTAGCTCCTGTGTACACCCCAGAGTGATTCATAAACCAGGAAAGGTAGGGGTTCAGCCACTTCAATTGCGTGCAGGGCCTGGTCCAGTTCACAAGCTCAGAGGTCACTTACTGAATGGAGTCCATTCAAAATCAAGGGGGGAGAGAGGAAGAGAAGAACATAGCGGGGTACACCTTTAACTTTTAATCCAATGGTTACAGCACTTGCCCGGGAAATGAAGACTGGTTCAATTCCCCTTCTCTGCCAGAGGGGAAAGGATTCAAAACAGGGGTCTCACATCCCAGGCAAGTGCTCTAACCATGGGACTAAAGGGGTGGCACCACCATCTCGCCTCCCATTTTTGTGGAGTGAGTCAGGGGCTCACTCATTTCCTCAAGCAGCAACATAGGCACCTAAACCACCTGATTCTGGGCAGCAGGTTTCTGTTTGTGAGTTGATAAGCAGAGATAAGTCTAGGCTGCAGAGAGGTGCTTAGGTGTCTAGCTCTTTGACAGGGGTGGGGCTAAGTACACCCCCTCCCTTGTTGGCATCTCCCATTGGCTAGCTTAGGCAGCTTCCCACCTCACATACTGGCTTTTATGGATCACATTCCTACTTGCCTTTCTCTCCTCATGCATTGTACAGGTGCCAAGCTGCCCAGGTGCCTAGCTCAGATCGTAGTTCTGTGATTTTTTCTTAGTGCCTAAAGTTTAGGAGCTGTGACATTCACCATTGCAATGCCCATGTCCCTTTGTGGATCCCACCCTACACACCTAGTGCACCAAGAGAGAAAAATAATCCTAGGCACACTGAGCAGTATATGGAAGACAGCACAAAGCTGAACACACATACTGTACTGGCCTAGGTTTCTTGGGATGCTGAAAGCATCCTGATGTGTCTGCTAGATTTAGGTTGACCAGATGTCCCGATTTTATAGGGACAGTCCCAATATTTGGGGCTTTTTCTTATATAGATGTCTATTACCTCCACCCCCTGTCCTACTTTTTCACACTTGCTATCTGGTCACTCTAGCTAGATTACCTATACTTTTTGACTACTGACCATTTTAAGGTAAAATACCATTTATTAATTCTTTCAGTTTTATACCAATTGAGTATATCAAAACACTTCATTTATTAAACTCATACCATCACCCATGCAAGGTAGAACTGATGATCAGAGCACTTAGGTGGTTTTCCCTGTGGTCATTAAAGTCAGTGTCAGGAATAGCAGCAAAGAGTCCTGTGGCACCTTATAGACTAACAAACATATAGGAGCATGAGCTTTCGTGGGTGAATACCCACTTCTTCGGATGCATCCAACGAAGTGGGTATTCACCCACGAAAGCTCATGCTCCTATACGTTTGTAAGGGTACGTCTATATTTACCCGCTGGTTCGGCGGCCAGCAATCGATCTTCTGGGATCGATTTATCGCGTCTTGTCTAGACGCGATAAATCGATCCCGGAAGTGCTCGCCGTCGACGCCGGTAATCCTGCTCTGCGAGAGGAGTAGGCGGAGTCGACGGGGGAGCCTGCCTGCCGCGTGTGGACCCGCGGTAAGTACCTTTAAGTTCGAACTAAGATACTTCGACCTCAGCTACGTTATTCATGTAGCTGAAGTTGCGTATCTTAGTTCGAACTGGGGCTTAGTGTGGACCAGGCCTTAGTCTATAAGGTGCCACAGGACTCTTTGCTGCTTTTACAGATCCAGACTAACACGGCTACCCCTTTGATACATGAGTGTCAGGAATGAAACCCATTCTCCCATTTGTGTTCTTTCACTACTAGAGAAGTCTCCTTTGATTTATACATCCTTTTTCATTCCAGCAGGTTTTGTGAACTATACACCCACTTCTGTTAGGGAAGGCTGCCACCTTCATATTACTAGGAGACACGTTTAGGCAAGAATATAGGGACAAATCTCTGCTCCTATGAAAAGTCCCATGCTATATTTAATGCTAACAGAATCTCACTGACTGACATGTATACACAAAGAAACCCATACTGAAGAGGTTGCCCTTGGACGGATGAAGACATATCTGAGCTGTCTGAAAGAGCCTAGGTATTTTAAACCTGATATACCAGTAAGCCACAGAATGCAAGACTCTAATTGTCTCATATGTGCTATATACAGGCCCAGTTCATTCTCTTCTTCTGATTATGCCAAAGGACATTTTGGGGAGGAAATTTAAATGATAATCTCCCCAAATAGAAAGTCTCAACCCCCCCCCCCCCCGAAACTTTTCCCATGGAAAATATGTTCCAGGGCCTAACTCCAAGCCTAAGAGATCCAAAGGGTATCTGCAGGAGCTCAGGATGATACATGAGGCAAGCTGTACCTCTTACCTACTACAGCTATTGAGCATATTAGCCAAATATCCACCAACACTTCATTGGCATTCACAAAGCCTTCAACAGAGTCCCTCACAAGGGCTGATAGGTGGTGTTCTGTCATGAATGAGAAACTGGTTAAGAGAAAACAACAACAACAAATGGGGAATTTTCAATATGGTAGATGTTAATTGTGAGGTTCCCCAGCTTGTGTGAGGACTATTTGACCTGTTTATTAGTGACATGAAAAAGGCAGTAAGGTGGCAAAATTTGTCAAGGACACAGAAGAATAGGTTAGTCTAGAATAGGGCTGTCAAGCGATTAAAAAAAGTAATCAATATTAAACAATAATAGAATATAATTTATTTAAATATTTTTGGATGTTTTCTACATTTTCAAATATATTGATTTCAATTACAACACACAATACAAAGTATACAATGATCACTATATTTATTTTTGATTACAAATATTTGCACTGTAAAATAAGAAGCAGGCAGCAGTATCTCCCGTAAATGTAAACAAACTTGTTTTTCTTAGCTATTTGGCTGAACAAAAAGTAGGACTGAGGGGACTTGTTTTATATTGTTTTGTTTTAGAGTGCAGTTATGTAACAAAACAAAAAATCTACATTGGTAAGTTACACTTTCACAATAAAGAGATTGCACTACAGTACTTGGTATTTTTCAGTTCACCTCATACATTTCTTTTGTTTATCGTTTTTACAGTGCAAATATTTGTAATAAAAATAATAATATAAAGTGAGCACTGTACACTTTGTATTCTGTGTTGTAATAGAAATCAATATATTTGAAAACATCGAAAAACATCCAAAATATTTAATACATTTCAATTGGCATTCTATTGTTTAACAGTGCAATTAATTTTTTTAAATCACACTTAATTTTTTTGAGTTAATCACGTGAGTTAACTGCCATTAATCATCAGCCCTAGTCTAGAATAAAAACAGGTATTGCAAAGTGACCTAACAAAGCTAATTAAATGGACATCACACTGGCAAGTGACATCCATTATTAATAGTTTCACGGTAAGGAAAAGCTTGAACTACTTTTACACTTTGCTAGGTTCTAAAGTAACAGCCACTCATGGAGAAGCTAGTGGTCAAGAAGCAAACAAGCATCAGGAGTCATAAGGTATGGGAGTAA